CAAATCCCACTTTTCGGGAGGAGATTCCCTTCTCTCATCCTCTCCCTCTATCTTGCCCTTTCTGCTAAGATCACTCTCCTTTGGAAACCAATAGCTCTGCTTCGTCCTTGGAATGCCTCTGGAAGCCAGGGACTGTTATCTCCCTAAACAACATCCCAACCAGTGCTTGGAATGTGATTTACATTACTGACCACTAAGCGCAGAAGAAAACAATGCGAGGCCCTCCCAGCTGCATGCAGGGGCTGAGCGGTGCTGCCGGGTGGGAGGTGAAGGGGAGCTGAGCTTCCCACGCAGCTTGGGGTCTCCTCCCGCCGGAGCCCCCGTGATGCAGGCAGGGAGGAGCCGTCCCTTCCAGGGCCCTACGACGGAGGCGGTAAGGGGTCTCCTCCCACTTGGGCCTCACGATGGGTGCAGTGAGGACGCCACCGCAATCCCCTCCGGGCCACGTGGGCTGGCAAGTGAGGGTGGCGTCTGGGGAGCTTGAAGGAGACTTTGGGCTCTTCTAGGACTTGCTGCTAGGACTGCCAGCTTCAGGCCTGACTCACCCGGTAGGGCTGGGCACAAGCCAAGGGCCATGGAAAGACTGTGGGGTTACACACGCGGCCGTGGGCTGTGCCAGCGCAGCCTGCTGGGGAACAGCCAGGGCTCGCCGGGCACAGGGAGCATGGCCCAGGGAGTCGAGACCTTTATGCAATCATAGAGGCTTTTTCTCTACTGGGGCAAGAAGACATTCCTCTCCCGAGGAGGAATTACAAAGCAAATTGTTCCTGCCTCTCTTTAAAGGCCAGTGAGGTTAGGAAACTGCTCCTTCCTTCTGCAGAAAGCTTGAAAACACAGGCAGGTTTGTCTGCTTTCGACGTTTCAGTGTAAGTCGCTGCCCCTATTACCTTGCCGGGGGCGCTCCTGAGCCCCCAGACCCACTGCGGGGTGGGACCCAGCCTTCTCCCCTGCCTCTGTTATTTGCTGCAACACAATAAGAAATATATATCGGTCTTTCCCCCTGGTTCCTGACACACAACTCCTAAAGCACTTGTAATTTCCTTAGTGATAGAGGTGCTAGGAGTATCTTTTTGTTTTGATATTTGATGCTGGTTCCTGGTACAGAGCTCCTTTTCAATCCCTTGCAGTTTCCAATGTGAGGCAACCTCCATAAAAATCCCTACACTATGTGGTTGGGAAGCTTCTGGATTGGTCAACACATCCACATGCTGAGGGTGACACACCCCAAGTCCACAGGGACAGAAGTTCCTGCGTCGGGACCCTCCTGGACCTCGCCCTATGTACCTCCTCGTCTGACTCTTCATCTGTGTCCTTGATTATGTCCCTTATGATAAACGAGTAAACACCAGTGAATGTTTCCCTGAGTTCTGTGAGCCGTTCCAGCAAATTATCAAGCCTGAGAGGGAACCGTGGGAACCCTCAACTTTGTAGCCAAGTAGGTCAGAAGTGTGCGGATCCTGGGGACGCATTACTTGTGATGTATCTGAAGTGCAGGCACTCTTGTGGGACTGAGCTCTTAACCTGTGAAGACTGATGCTAATTCCAGAAACTAATTAAACTATACGACACCCAGTTGGTGCCCGGAGAGTTGGAAAATTGGTTGGCGAGAGGAAAAAAAAAAAACCACATGCATTTGGTGTCAAAAGTGTTGTAGGCAGAGAAATGGTTTTTCCTTTACCCCCAAACCAAGCCATGGGAACTTTTCCTCACAAAGCTTTTGCTGGCGATTGCCACGATGGAAAACAGAAGGGATACCAAAAATAACAACCCCCGAAACGGGACAAGGTTTTGGGTAATTTTACAGAGATCTTACCGTTGCTGACTGCCAGCTTAGACATCAACCCTCAGCCCCTCCACATCCCGTCCAGGCCTCCAACTAGCTCAGAGAGTCATGCAACCCCTTCTGGCTCCCCACTCCTTCCACGACGACTTTCTATCAAGTGCCAAAGCTTTGTCCCAGCCCCCGCTTTAGACCCGTCACTCATCTCTGAATCCCAAATTGAAACCAAATAATCATCCACCGAAGCGTAAACCGTAACTGCCCAGGCTGTGAGTGTTGGAAACGCCCTAAGGGAGCAGGAAATCTGCCTCCTCACTCTGCAGATTAGGGAATGGGATTCCACAGACAACCTCAGATCTGAGACCAAGGCAAGTGTCTGGACTCTTAGTTGGATGTCCTTTAAAATGTGTCACGCCCCTGCCATGCCCATACGTCTGCTAACGTGGTCCGACCAAAACAAAACAAGGAAGAAGGGAATATTCTCCAAACAGAATGAAACTTCCCTCTGAAAACTTGGGATCCCTCCTAAGGCAGGTGCCCGGGAGCATGCTGGGAACCCTGACCTCGGTCCAGCCCCAGAGGCCCCCCTCAGGCCACCTGCACACCCGCTCCTCTGGATCCCCTCCGCCACTCAGCAGGGTGTGCCCCCCGGCCCCTCTCCCCACACCCCCAGACCCAAGTGCTCCTTCTTGGCCCCAGTCCGACCCCTCTTCACACTCACCACACCTGTCACCATCTGTGTCTTTGCCAGCCTGGGCGCTGCGCGACACAGGGGCCCACAGGCTGGCTGATGGTGGGTGCTCAGTAGATCTGGGGAAGGTGTGTGTGGATGAGATGAAGTCACAGAGGCAGGACACGGGTCTTAAATACAACTTTATTGGGAGCAGGCCGTTGTCCCCGCAGCGGCCAGCTCCCACGTATACACAGTATACAGAGCCCAGCCAGTACCCAGGTCCTTCCATCCTTCTGCAGTACACACACGGAATGCAAAAGAACAAAACACAAGGGGGTCTCGGTAAACGACAGTGTCTAGTGCCTTCGGGAGCCAGTGCCCAGGCTGGGGGCACTCGGGCCCCTCCTCCCGTCCTCGGCTCGCCTGCCCCCGCTCCAGCATGGCGAGGCCCACGAGGTTGAGATCCTGCAATCAGTGCACACAACGAGCAGAGGAGGCAGGGGCTCCTGAGCCCAGACCCTTACTGGTCCATACCCCTCGGAAGAGGTTGCTGCAGCCCCAGAATGTTCCTCTTCTTCCACAGACATGAGAGACCACCTTAACTTTGTCTCCATCACCAGAAAACTGTGCCTTGAGGCTTGTCTCTGCTCAGCCTTGGAGAGTATGGTTGGATTAGTGAAATGGTCCCAGACAAGACACACCTCCCAAGTTGTCTTGCTCGTACTTCTTTTAAAAAGGAAAAAAAAAAAGGTAAAAGGAAAACATCACGACAGGAAAGAGCGCTGAGACCCAGCTTACGTCAGGAGCAAGGTTAGTTGTCCCTCCTGGAAATGATCCATCAAGCCGCTCTCCTGGGGGCCAGGCGCCCCCAGTGATGGCACCTCCCTTCCCACCCACCCGGTCCCCGCCCCTTCCGCACGCCCCCGCGCCACCCTCTCCTCGACGAGGAGGGCTGCACCAAGCACAGGGTGCGGTGCTGTCGTCAGCTAGCGGGGGTCCACCTCTGCCCTGCAGCCCCAGTGTTCGCTCGGGCAGGGAGGGCGGTTCCTCCTTGCTCCCTTCTTCAAGGGTGGCTGCAGCCCAGCCTCTGACATCCTCCTGCCCTTCGTCCCCTGCGGGAACGTGTTCAGGGCTCAGCCAGGGTCAGACTGGGATTAGAACACCATCCCAGGCTCACCTGGCTGGTCGGCTGGTTTGTGGATTCTATCAGGGGAAGCCAAATCAAAGGGCTGACTGCCTTTCCCAGGGGAGGCAATGCTGTGCTGTCACCTCACCGAGGTCCAGGACTCACTACCTACTCTCAGAAACAGAATCTCCCGTCTTCGTGCTGGGGTAGCTGCACCCTCAAGAAATACCCTGCTTGGCCAAAGAATCCCTAACTCCAAAACATCGTCCCCCTCGGAGCTGTAGGAAACATCCGGTTTCCACTCTGCTACCGTGTCTCCGAGATAGACAAGTCTCCAGCAGTTCCTACTGGTGGCTGCCAAGGGCCCCTGGGTCAGCTAAGTGATTCCTGGTGTCTCCTGAAACCTGTCCCCATGGCACCTGAAGAGAGAGACCCTGTCATCGCATTTGGAGGTCCGGGGGGTGGCGGGCTGAGGGGAGCAGGAAGCATGCACCCAAGCTCATCTCTGTGTCTGGGCAGCTCAGTCTACAGGGGAGGACAGCAGGGCTGCTGGAAGCACCAGGGTCCCCACTGCCCCGGGGAGGGACAAGGGTGGGTTCCCAGAGAGCAGAGCCTGAGGTAGCAAACAGTGAACCCCGTTATCCAACTGCAGAAACTACAGCCTGTGATGCAACGTGACAGGCCCCAGGCAAGACTGCATGTAGCTGTCTGGACGGTGCCTACTTGTTTGTTCAGCACCTGGCCCTTCTGGGCATGTCCCACGTCCCCCTAATGGGATCAGGACTGTGGCAATGCTGGGTTAAGGTAACAGCCTGACTTATATCTGGCTCCCTGGAGGAAGAAGCCATCAGAACTGGGGCCCCCTCCTCCCCATCCTAGGAAGACATTCCTGCAAAGCTCAGACCCAGCCCCAGTGACAGTAGAACCCTCTAGGTCTCTCCTCAAACTCCCTGCTTCGGGCACAGAATCCATCACCCCAGCATCTTTTTTTTTTTGATGGTCGGATCCCTGTTGAAGAAGACAAGTCTCCTTACTGACCGCCTACCTCCACCTGCAAAGACCCAGAGGACACCTATGCAGAAGCCCTCCCACTAGTCTGAAGACTACGACACAGGGAGAGGAGGTGGCCCTTTAAGGGATGGCCGAGAGTGGAAAGAAGATGAGGAACTTGGGACTGTCCCCCACACACCTCACCCCAAATGGAGCGGCCCAGGCTCCAGCTATACCTGCCCCCTGCCCCTCAGCTCTGCCCACCCCCAGCCAGTTTTCACTGTTCAGTCCACATCAGTCAGAAAAGAAAGTGGCTGAAAGCACCATAAAATCCTGCCTTGTTCAGAGACGGCTCAGAGCCCTGGGGCCCCCTGAAGTCGCCAAGCTGCCGGGCCTTGGCTCTTCCAGCAGCCTGCGGCCTCCCTGACGGGGGCCAAGGTCCCTGAAGTTCCGCTGGGAGGCGCCCATCCTCCAGGTCCCTGGGAGACTGGGCCCGGTGCCTCCTGCCCAGCTCCAAGCACCTCGCAGCCTCACCCCGAGGCTGGCCCCGGAGGAGCCGGGCGTGAGGTAGACTGTGCCTTAGTGACTTAGCTTCCCGGCCCAGGTCCTTGTCCCTGGATGTGGGTGGCCTCGCGGCTTGGGCCCCGCCCAGTGCCCTCTGCCCGTGGCCGCCCCGGAGGCAGCAGCGCGAGGGGCTGCAGAGTTAAGCGGCGGAGCGCTCCGCTCAGCACGGCCTCAGGACGCAGAAGTCCAGCTCCTGGGGCTTCCGGCGCAGGTTGCACCGGTCCCGGGCCAGCAGCCGCCCTCCGTGGCCCACGCACTTGAGCGGACGCCTCTTGAAGCCCCGGCCGCAGCTCTTGGAGCAGGGGGACCAGGCGCCCAGCTCCCAGGCCGGGCAGGGCTCCCCACAGGCGCGCGTGTCCGCCGGCCGGTGGGCGGCGTCGCAGGCGGATGCCCCGCGCTGCCCGGGGGGCCCGCGACAGTCCACGGGCCGCCGCTGCAGGCCGCCCCCGCAGCTGGCCGAGCACGGCCCCCAGCTGCCCGCCACCCAGCGCGCGGGGGCCCGGGCGTCCGGCTGCTCCACCTGATTGGAGAGGCTGAGGACACTGTTGTGGAGCACGGAGGGGGCCCGGGGGTCCGTGGGCGGCGAGGCCCGGTCCTCCCGGGGCTCCTTGGGCAGGTAGAAGGAGTAGCGGACCCGGGGCGGCGTCATCTTCCCCACGGAGAGCACCTCCACGGTCAGGGGCTCCAGGATGGGCCGCGAGGCCTGCAGGCTCTCCACTGCGGTCCCCGTGCCGCTGTAGCGCAGCAGGCTGCCCTTCACCACCAGGTCCCGCTCCACGGCCGACACCACGAAGTGCCCGTTGAGCAGGTACTTGCCTTGGCTGTTCTTCAGGGCCAGGTAGTTGTCGTCTCCGATCAGCCCTTTGTAGCCGCGCTGGCGGATGTCGATGCTGGAGGCGCCCGCCGGGATGGCGACCACGAAATTGTAGCCATGCCTGCGGCGGCAGAAGAGTAAGCGTTAGACCGATGCCTGCAGCAGGACCTCGCTGCCCTCCGACGCCGAGACGGGTTCCCCTTCCCAAACCCCGGGCAGGTCACGCAGGTGGCAGAGTACCGGGCCTGGCCCAGCCCATGGGTCACACAAACCGAGAGGTGGGGAGGCTGTGGGCACATCGGCCGTCCCCGGATACGGTGGCTGCACCTACCGCCTCCAGAGGGAGCGGAGAGGAAGGGGGAGGAGGACGGGAGGGGCCGGGGCTGGGGCTGATGCAGGGAGGTGCATACCCTGGGGTCAGGGACCTATAGCAAGCCTTGGCTCGGGTACCAGCTCCCTGGTGGCTTCAAGCAAATCAGCCTCTCTGGGCTCCAGGGGCCTCATCTATGCAATGAGCAGGTTAAAAGGATGATGTCTCAGCTCCTTCCCACTCCACTAGTCTATGAAAGGGACACCTGCCATTTAGCCTGTGAAGAGAGTCCGGGGATCTACCTTTAATTCCCAGCCCGGTCTCCCCTGCGGGCCCCTGAGGGACAGCCTGCAACACCATCCGCCTGCAGCACCCGAGTGCCCGAGAGGTTGCACCCAGGGCTCGGCAGAGGGCACTGTGTCCAGGGGGTGGGCGAGGCTCCTGGACAGCCATTGAGGCCTTACTGCCACCAGCACCTGGACCCCCAAGTCCTCAGAGCCAAGCACACCCCTCGACTGAGACATTAGGGACTCTGCTTTCCCCTGCTTCTTCCAGAGCTTGGGTCCGGACTTTGCAAGGAGCACATCCCCCTGAAAATAAAGGGAACGTGCTGGACATTGGAAAGGCAGGAGCCCAGGCTCAGCAGAGACATTTCTTCGGCTGATCTGGGCACCCATCTCCCGCGAGGGGGCTCCCTCAGTCCCAGCCGTTCGCTCCTCCGTCTCCCTGCAGTTTAGTGCCATTCTCGGCTTAATCCTGTCCCCAAGGCCAGGGCCTCGGGCTCAGAAAAAGGGGAGGCTGTCACATCTGTCCCCAGGTATGTTTTGTTAGCATCATCATGAACATTTAGTGAGCATTTATTACTCAGCAGGTACTATGCTAAGCATGTCACCTGAATTAACTCCCTAATCCTCACAATAGCGGGACATGAAATATATTAGCGTCGTACCCACTTTACACGTGGGGAAATCTAGAATTCTTGAGATTGCGTCACTTGCCCGGCTTCGTCCAGAAAATGGGGAACTGGGACTTGAACACAGGTCAGTCTCACTCTAGAGTTCTAGACAGACCCTAACAACTCTGCCAAACGCCTGGATATCATCTCCAGCTAAGTGACACCCTAGTCAAGCCTTTGTCTTTGTCGGATGAATGAATGAACGAATGAACAGCATACTTGTAGCCGAGCACGAGTGGCCTCTGAAGCAAGGGTACCGGCCAGGATTTGACATTTACTCCATCTAACCCAAGCTTCCGACGCCTGGGGGCAACTCCTTCCCTCCCTCCACCCCCCCAGGGCTCAGAACTCACATGGGCTTGGTGAAGAGTCCTGACACCTTCTTACAGCTCTTATTGTCTCCCCCGCACACCCCACATTTGTCGAACTTCTTCTTGGAGCCCAGGTTCCCGTCGCAGCCAGCCTTGATGCACTTGCCTTGGACGCAGACCGAGGTGGAGTCAGGGGTACACAGTGTGCCGTCCACCACCTGCAGTGGCCCAGGGTGGGGAGAAGAGGAGTGGGGGCAGCTCAGCCTGATGCTCCCCAGGACGCTGCCCCTACCTGCTCTCCTGCCCAGGCTCACCCACCTTCGGCGCCAGCGCGTAGAAGTAACCAGTGCCGTTGGCTCGGCAGATGAGTTTGCACTTGTCCCGTGGGGAGACGCCCGAGTACTTGGGCACCCAGGCCACGGTCAGGCTGAGCCGGTTCGTGCTGCGATTGTAGCCGTTGAAGGCCTCGCACTGCTCCTCCCGGAAACTCTTGCCAGAGGCTGGGGAGGGGGAACACATGCAGGAAGCTAAAGGGAGGGCCAGTTGGGGAGAGGGCAGAGGAGAGAGGCCCCCCAGGGGTGCTCCACCTCACCCTCAGCCGGGGCGTCCTCATCACTGAAACCACCCCACCTCAGAGGACCAAGGCAGGCGGGGACCAAAGGATGCGGGAGACAGATGGTAACGCATCCCGCGGGCAGTGTGGCGCCTCCCCCAGTGGTCTGGCCTTAAGTTCCCTTGAACAGGAGTCCTAAAGAGAACCCCCCAGCAGTCTATTGAAACTGCATTCAGAACGCTCTTAAATGCATAAAATACATAGATTACAAAGAACACCAATTATATTTATATGCAACTGTCAATATATTTTGAAACATATTTGTGATTTATGTGCTTCCTTGTTAACCCATTATATAACAAGATCCAACAATGAGTCTAAAACCCACTGTAAGTGTGAGCTAGTGATGAGCACAAATGCCATTTTAAGGAATCTGCAACAACTGAAAATATGCAACACATGAAAATACCCATGATTTCTAGTGGCAGAGCCACAGGTACTGTGACTAGCATTGTAGTTTGTTGCCTAATTAAGAGAAATACTAAATTTGGGGTGGAAAGGTTAGTAAAAACTACTAAATTTCTAACTGAAGGAAATACTAAATTTTAGATTAAAAGGTTAGTAAATATAGAGATGTTATTTTCCTCCCACCCAAGTTCATGAGGCTTGGATAAAGAATTCCTGCTTGGGGGGCTTCCCTGGTGGTGCAGTGGTTGAGAGTCCGCCTGCTGATGCAGGGGAAACAGGTTCGAGCCCTGGTCCGGGAAGATCCCACATGCCACGGAGCAACCAAGCCCATGTACCACAACTACTGAGCCTGCGCTCTAGAGCCTGCGAGCCACAACTGCTGAGCCTGCACGCCACAACTACTGAAGCCCGCGGGCCTAGAGTCTGCAACAAGAGAAGCCACTGCAGTGAGAAGCCCGCAGGCTGGAAGAAAGAGCAGCCCCCACTCAATGCAACTAGAGAAAGCCCGCACGCAGCAATGAAGACCCAACGCAGCCAGAAAGAAAAAAAGAAGAAGGGAGGGAGGGAGGGAGGGAGGAAGGGAGGAAGGAAGGAAGGAAAGAAGGAAAGAAAGAATTCCTGCTTGTATACAAGTAAGAATGGTGTCTGAGTTTGCAACTGGGCTGTACCTATCCCAATCTCATTAAAAATAGCAAGAAACTGAGAATGTGGAAAAGATGTAATTTACTTTTATCCCAGCAAATTACAGACAGCTGATCGTGGTCTACAGGAAAGTCAAACAAGGGATATGTAACAGTTCCTTTTTTTCTAAACCATATTATTTCCATTCTGCTATTGTTATTGCAAAGGATTATTCTCAGAAAACAAATTAAAAGCTAACCTATTTAAAACAAAACAAAAAAAAAAAACTTCTGCGTATGAAGATGCGCTTGTCTGTGCTTAACTAAGAGGGTTCTAGTATCCTGTCCCCTTGGGCCATCTAGACTCCCAGCCTCAGCATCAGAGGAAGACAGCCCTGGCAAAGGTGGCTAGGCCAAGAAATGATCCCAAGGTTTCTGCACGTCCGGACTGTGCCCTGGGAGTAAGAATCTCGACTGCAGGAGCTCTGTGGCCTCCCGCCCACCTCCCCAGCCCGGCCGCGGCCGCCCCCGCTCACCTGAGCTGGGGCAGGACTCCAGGCTGCAGGAGCGGTATTTCACCCTCACTCCCTCGCAGTACTTGCCGCCGTTGGCGGGGACGGGGCTGCTGCACTGCCTCCGCGCCAGCTGCACGCCCCCGCCGCAGGTGCGCGAGCAGGGCCCGTAGGGCTCCCACTTGGACCAGGAGCCGTCCACCTGCGAGGAAGGGTCTGTTACGTCCCTGCGGGGTCGGGGCACGGCACCCACACGCTGAGCCCGCACAGGAGCCCCTCGGGGACAGCCTCCACCGTGCCATCCCACCGGCACGAAACCCACTTCATGCCACGAGGGAGAAAATGAGCAGCAAATGATCCTGCGCCTGGGGCGCACACAACACTTCAGCCCGTCGATTAGCGAATGCCCACTGCCCCCACTTACACAGGAGGCCGCACGCAGGACAGGGCTCCTGGCTGTGGAGGCAGGCAGGCAAGCTCCACCCGGGCCTCTGCCCTCGCCACATGGGTGGCCTTGAGCAGACAGAGGAACTTCCTTAAGTTTCAGGTGCTTCGTGTGCAAAAATGGGGCCAGCACATCGACCTCGGGTGTGAGGTCAGACGGAAGATTTAAATGATGCAGCAGCGTGTGTGAAATGTCCTAGCTCCGTGCTTACCACCGCGAGGGAGCTCAGGGTTTCTCTTTCTGTGTCGTTAGTGACCTTACAAAAGTCTCTGAGTCTAAAGGATGGCCAGTAAACCGTGTCGCCATAGATATCTGAATATTTTTATTTGTAAGGTTTCCATAATTCAGACTTTTCACCAAACCAGACTGGTCTTCACCTCAATCCGGGGTTAAACTTGAGAAAGTTTCACTACAAGCAGATGTAATGTTTGTGCTAAGAGGAGATAAAGACAGGAGGCTATTGAGCAATCCTGAAACTGTTTGGCTTTGGGGTGAATTATGCAGTGTTGTTTTAATTTCAAGAGGGTGGAGAAGGGAGAGAAAATTTACAGTCTTCATTATGTTTTTCTTAGGATGACAGTAAAGCCAGTTCTCAGCCCTGAATACACACGAGTTGGGCAGCAGGGCCCAGGTGTACGAGGCTGGTGGAGAGGCTGTCACAGGTCACCCAAAGCGGCGAACCTGCACGGAGCCCGTCAGGAACTGGCTGCAGGTAAGACAGATACCTTAACTTAGGTAGATACTCAGAGTTTCGTCCTGAGGAAGGACACTTTCCCTTAACCCTGCTTTCTCCTCAAACCATAGCCCACCTCATTCATGCCTTCCCTTCCTCAGAGAATCAGCCACACCTGCTCTTTCTACCTGCTCCCTCCTCCGTGCCTTGCCGTACAGGCTCTGTCCCCGTTGCACCACGGGAACTGCTCTCTCAAAGGTCAGCAGTGACCCCTCTCGAAGGTCAGCAGTGTCCCCTCTCAAAGGTCAGCAGTGACCCCCCCTAAAGAATGAAAGAGTCCGTGCCCAGGCCCGTGGTCCCCAACCTTCAATATTTAACTTTGCTCCTTTGGTTTCTGAGACGATGCTATGCTTTTTTTTTACCTGGCATCACTTCTTCCTACCCATTCCTACAGGAAACACTCCTGCCATGTGCCATTCAGTCACTCATTTGCCAAACATTTGTTGAATTCCTACCACAAGCCTGGCACCATGTGCAGCAAACCCCTGCCTTTGAAGCAACTGCATCCCAGCTGGGAAGACAGACCATAAAAATAAGCCTGCGCACATAGTGTCAGATGGGGTTAAAGCAGGTGTTCGGAGCAGGAGATGGGGAGGGCCCTGGAGAGGGGGCTGCCCAGTGTTACAGGGGGGCATGGAGGCCTCACCACTGAGGTGACATTTGTACAGAGGCCTGAAGGAAGTATGGGAGTGAAGCATGTCGATACTAGGGAAAGAGCGATCCAGCGCAAAGGCCCTGAGGAGGCAGCAGGAAGAGCTGAAGACAGAGACGGGGCTCGCTGGGTCTGAGCGAGAGGACCTGGCTTGCATTTCAAAGGATCGCTCTGTCTGCTCTGGAGGGAACTGTCTGTAAGGAGTAAGGTCAGAAGCAGGGGGACCGGTTAGGAAGCAGGGGTGATAATCCACGGGGCAGGGGGCGGTGGCGTGGAGGGGGTGACAGCAGAGGAGGTGGTGAGAAATGGTTAGGCTCTGCATCGATTTTGAAGACAGTCCACAGGGATTGCTGGACGCGAGTCTGGGGCAAAGAGGCGTTGGCCTGAGCGCATGGAAGACGCCAGAGCAGGTTCGGGGTGGTGACGAGGGCCTGCATTTTACAGATGTCGTATTTAGGACGATCATCAGTTATCCAGATAGGGCGATGGAGATCCAGGGAGACAGGCAGTGTCCAGGAGAGAGGTCTGGGCAGCAAACTTGGGAGTCTTCAACATGTAAACGTAAAGTGTGTCTACAGCCAGCGATCTAGATGCTCCACCTAGGAAGGTGGCGTGGATCTTGACAGGGGCGAGGACCGAGCTCTGCAGCACCCACCCCAACGCTGGAAAACAGGAGTGTGAGGAAGGGGCAGCTGGCGGGGAGGAGGGAAACCAAGGCGGGTGAGTCTGTGTCCTCAGGGCAGAGAGCCATGGCCGGGTCAAATGCTGCTCGCAGGTCAGGCAGGAATCACCGAGCAGCAACGTGCAGGTCGTTGGTGACCTTAGGAAGAGTTATTTCAGAGAAACAGGAGGACTGAAAGCCTGTTTGGAATGCGCTCCAGAGAAAAGTGGCAAGACAGGCGTTGGTGAGAGCCGGTTCATACAACTCTTTCAAGGAACTTTGCTGTAAAAGGGAGTCAAGTAGGGGCTTCCCTGGTGGCGCAGTGCTTGAGAGCCCGCCTGCCGATGCAGGGGAGACGGGTTCGTGCCCCGGTCCGGGAAGATCCCACATGCCGCGGAGCGGCTGTGCCCGTGAGCCATGGCCGCTGAGCCTGCGCGTCCGGAGCCTGTGCTCCGCAACGGGAGAGGCCGCAACAGTGAGAGGCCCGCGTACCGCAAAAAAAAAAGGGAGTCAAGGAGAGAGACTGTGATACATGAGAACAGGAAGGATCGTGAGAAGTTTAGTTTGAGGTGGAAGAAACTACAGCAAGCATGCATCCTGATAGGAACGATCTGACTCAACACAGGGGACAATCTGATGCTGCGGGAAAGAGAGGAGATTGACAGGGTGCTTTCCTTGAAGAGACGGCAGAGGAGAGCATCGGAGTGCAAAGCACAAAGCCTGGCCGCAGGTGAGCGTGTGGGCAGCTCGTCCACTGTGCAGGAGGAAAGGCAGCACCACGGGCGCAGAAGCAGGTCCGACGGTGGATGCGGTGCTGGGAGCTGGTGGGAGTTCACGTCTGATAACTTAAATGCTTCGTTTTTCTTAGGGAAAGAGGAAGAAAGGTCACAGGCAAAAGTGAAAAATGAGGAAGAAAGAGCTGGTCATAGAAGAGAAAAGTGAAGATGTGAAGTAACAGCTTAGGTGGTTGGGAGAGTGAGAACTCAGGAGATAAAACGTGATGTGACCCCTGGGCAGGCCCACCGCAGTGTCCAGGTCATTGATTCAAGCTGAGGCCAGCGAGCAGGACTGCGTGTGCTTCTCCAGCCATGTTCACCTACGCTGGCACCACTGAGAAGGCGAGGGAGTCGGATGCCACCAGGGTGGTGGCTTAGCCCAGTGAGTACGAGGAATGGGGACGGGGGTAGAGGAGTGTACGTGAAGGAGTGGTTCCAACAATGGACCACGGTGTCTCAGCTCAGTAAGAGGCTGGTGAGGGCCTGAGAAGCCTGAGGGACGATGCAAAGATGTCAGGTCAAGGGACTGTAGGTCAAATGGGATTGAAGAACTGCCGGAGTCCCAAAACTGGAGGGAGTGAGCTGGGAAAATCAGGCTTCAGTGGACAGAGTGGGACCCCTGAAATGAGATCTCTGGGGTGACTCATAGGACAAGTTTTGTGCTTTGACTTTAGCTAATGAAGGCAGGGTCCTCCCTAAAGGGCCAGGGTGGAGGAGGGACAGTTCGCTCAGAAAGAAGGTTGAGGTTAGAGTGGGTTTGGCTCCTGATGGATTGAGAGGTCCCGAGAGCTTCCCCCATCACATTTCCTGTATCCAGTATCCCCCTAACCAACCTCTTTATCCTCTGACTCATCTTCCCAAGAGAAGGAACTGGCAGTGACCGGCCTGTCCTCAGGACCTTCCAGCCTCCATGCATCAGGCTGGTGGTCAAGGCAACTACATGTTAGTAGCGAACCACCCTCCCAAAGATGCCCCCAATGGAGTGCCCATCCACGCTAGCCTCCAGCTCAGCCCACCCCCCAGACTCTGCTCCAGCTCTGCCTGTCGAGACCCTACTCATCCCTAGAGGCTCTCTTCAAATCCCACCTCCTCACCAAGGCTTTTTCAGGCCCTTCTAATCATCATTAATCTCTCATCCCTGCTCTCCACGACACGTTCTCGCACTCTGTCCCAACACACAGCACACACCCCTCTGCGTCTTGGATCACAGTTACATTTCTAGCTTCCCCACTAGACTGTGAGCCCTCTCTGACATGGCCCACGTTTCATTTGTTTTTCTGACCACCACAGTACTTTACCCAGGTCCCTGAATAGAGCGGGTTGTTGCCTAATGAATGAATGAAGCTTTAATTAAACGTATATTCCCAGAACACAGCAGATTCTACATAATTCTGTACCATGCCCATCTCCGGGCAATGGATAAAGTGCTTGGTGAATGCTTTTTCATTGTTGATCCATGGCCTCTGAGTACATAAAACCCCAAAGCAAGCCCTCCCGTGGTCAAGGCAGGGGCAGGAGCGGGCTGGACAATTCCTGCCAGGATCAAGGGAGAAGATGGGCCTCTTTCTTATTCCTTTTGGTGGAAAAGCGCAAATCCCTTTGCTATCCCAACCCAAGATCTGGAGAAAATAAAGTTTTTATTATATTCGAGAGTATTTGGATTCCGAATTTGTTCCGGTTTGGTTGCTATTCCTGTTTATCGAGAAAAAATAACTTTTGTTCATTTATGTTTCAACTTCAAAAACGACCAATCACAACAGAAACTGAAGCTTGGTTCGGGATATAACAAATAGGGCTCTGAGCCCGGCTCATCTTGAGCCCACGGCTCCCTGGCCATGAAACACCCGCTGAGGGCCGAAAGGAAGGAGCGGGCAGTGAGCCAGTCCGAGCTCCAGGTGTTGGGCTCCAGAGCTCCTCCCAGGATGCAGCTCAGGGCCGGGCCCGCTGCCCCTGGGAAAGCACCCCACCTGCCTACGGCCTCACCAGTTTCTCTGACCGGCCTCATCTTTTCTCTCCGGTTTCAGAGTCAAGAAGGGGCCAGGACCACAGCCAGGGCAATCAAGGCACAGAGCATCAGTGAGATAGTTACGGCCACACAGCAATGTGTGCCGGGGCTGGTCCCCAGGGCAGGTCCCCGGAGTCCACCCCCCGCCCCCCAGCCCACTCACCCTGTGCTTGCCGAGGCTGCGTCTCTCCACACAGGCCCCCTTGAGGCAGAAGCTGCCGTCCCCGCAGCTGGTGCCGTCGGCCCAGGGGAAGTGGCGGGTCTGGCACAGCGTCTGGCCCTTGGCCTTGCCGGTGCACCACAGCTTGCTGCAGTGCTGCATGTAGGGGCAGGGCTTGGAGCCCACGCCGAAGGCCAGCTCGCACTGCTGGCTCAGGGGGTAGCTGGCACCCGGCAGGTCCTCAGGCAGGGACACGGGCTTGCTGGGCTCGTCCAGAAGACAGTCGCCTGCAGGGGGCCAAGGGCGCTCATCAGGGGCGAGCCAGAAAAGTGGCCGTGGCCAGCGCAGGGTCTCGACAGGAGCGGAGATGAAGCCAGGGGAACGGAATGGGCCCCGTCAGACGCCGTGGGTCACGCGGCACAGACGGGACGGGGCCGAGCCCGCCTCCCCGGGGCCCCGCTTACCGTGCCCGCTGTCCAGGAAGTCAGTGACGATGGCGGCGCTGCAGGCCGACCAGGGGTTGGCGCGGTCGATCTGGATGAGCGTCGGGGACATCATGTGGTTGCCCCGGAGCTTCCCGAACACCTCCTCGCACACCTTCACGTTGTCATGGGGCATGTTGAACACGTGGCCTGTGGGAGAGGCAAGAGGCCTCAGAGGGCAGCACGCGGGCGAGCATGGAGCAGCCTGAGGGGCGGGTGGGGGGCGGGAGCTAGAGGACCTGAGCCTACGGCTTTCAGGCGGGTCATTTCTGCCTAACGGTAGATTGCTTCGCAAGTGTCCTCAAGATCATGTTCCTGGGGACTTCCCTGGTGGTGCAGTGGATAAGACTCCATGGTCCCAATGCAGGGGGTGCAGGTTCAATCCCTGGTCAGGGAACTAAGATCCCACGTTCATGCCGCACCTAAGGAGCCTGCGTGCTACAACTAAGGAGCCCACAAGCCGCGACTAAGGAAGCCATCTGCCACAATGAAGGCCCAGTGCAACCAAATAAATGAATATTTTTTTAAAAAAATCATGTTGGGGTTTTATTGCTGTTATATTAAAAATACAGAGAGAGAGAGAGCATGATTTCACAGGTCCTGCCCTGCCCATCGGCTGTGGGCTCAGTGAGGACAGCAGGGTAGGGAATGTCCTCTCCCCTTGGCCCCTAGTTGATGAGACACTCTGACTGCTGACCAACACAGTGCCACCGGCCACCTGGGCTGGGGCGGTCGGGAAAGTGAGCCATCACCAAGGGCGACTCTGACCCTAAGGAAGGAGCCCAAGGGAGCAAAGATAGACGCCCACCCCTGCCCAGAACACCCAGTGCAGACCCAGAAGGGCACTCTCCTCCCTCCCCCCAAGAGCCCCCAGCCTCACCCAGCTCGTGGGCTGTGGTGAAGGCCGAGGGAAGCCCGTCGTCCTCGATCACGGAACAGCTTCTCTTGGGGTCGCACATGGTGCCCACGTCAGCCATGCCCAGCGTGTCACAGGTGGTGGCCCCGCACAGGTCCTGCCCAGGTAGGGGAGAAGCAGAAGCCGGCCAGAAGTTAGAGACGTAACAGAAGGACCAGATGGGAAGGAGGGGCACTCGCCCCGCTCCGGGTCCCAGCAGGCCCGGCACTTCCCAGCCAGGCCCTTTGCCCAGGGGGGCTGCAGGGCTGTCATTCATGGAATGCACACAGGGAAAAAGCCTCAGGAGGGAAGCTCGGTGGCTTGCTGAGAAGATGCGACCCAAATCCTACCCAGGGAGGCCCTGGGAGGAAATTAGGAGGTACAGGATTACACTGAAAGGACAGTTGCTTTCTACAGACACAGCCTTCCAGCCCCGAAAACGGCGACTCCCCAGCTGGGTGAGGTTCCGGTTGTGGCTAACTGGGCAGAAGGGGGTGGAAGGTTGGCACCACCCCAGCCAGGGTTGGCTCTGGGAGCCTCATCCTTGATGAGGGACTGCCTTTGGACCACCATGAATTAAGCTCAGATTCTCAGCCAACGGGTCACTGGCCAAGGGCCCGCCCTGCCCAAAGCCCGGCTTCCGCGGGCTGGGAGTAGGCAGAGAGAGGCAGAGACAAGCCCGGATGCAGACCCAGCTCCACTGGCCACAGAGGCTTGGGGGACCACGGGCTCCACGGCCGCTCCGAAGAAGATAATTACATGAGTCGTGACCTAAGCAGGAAGGTCCCTCTTTCTGTACTGAAACAGCCTGCAGCAGGGCCAGAGCCTCTGGCAGCCCAGATGGAATACTCTTCACGGATGTGGAAGGGTCTCCTGGGGGCACAGCTCGCATGACTCAGGAGCATCATGGGCCAGCAACGCATCCAGGTGCCTTCGGAGCCCGGAGAAATAGGATGAGACACCTGTACACATTCTGCTCCTCCTGAGAAGACACTTTAAATGGGTGACACTGGTACTTTCTACGCCACATCCCTGCCTTTAACGTGGTTGGCACTTGACAGTTTACACGAAGTTGACGTGCAGCATCTCGTGTAATCCCCACCACAGTCTGAGGAGGCAGAGGTATTATTACACCCATTTGTCAACGGTGGAGACCGCGACTCAAATCACAGCTAATCACGGTGGCGACTGAGTAAATGCTGACACTGGGCCTGCACCTGACACACACAGCGCTAGTTAATCCTCCAGCATCCACTAGAGTAATGACGGCACCATCACCCTCCACAGACACCTCTTCAGACTCCCCTGAAGCTTAGAGAAGCTCGAGTCCCAGTCAGGGTCTGAGGACTGGACAGTCACCCTCTGTCCGCTTCATCGCAGCTGTTTACTCAGCGTCTCCTGAGTCCACGCACTGCAGGTGTTTCCCCCGGGAGCCCAGGGGCTCACACAACAGGCACAGAGAGCTGTCCTCAGCTGTGTATCTCCCTAGGGGTGTATGTGTGCGTGTGTGTGTATGTGTGTGTGTGCACGTGTGCTGACGTGGGGAAAAGGTGGGCAGCCAGAGCGTGTAAGGGGTACCAGGGAGCATAGGAGGAAACGTGGTCACAATACAGAAAATCAGCAAAATTTAATCCCAAGCGCTCAGCAGTTTACCACCTGAGCAGTCAGACTTGGCTTCTCACGGTCAGGTGACAGTCACACCCCCTCATGAGTTCACAGTGATTCTGGCCAGAGAGCTTCCAGGGTGATCAGACTGAACCCGAGGGCACCCGAGTCACTGGCAGGTAAAAGGCTGTCCCGCACTTGCTCACGGCTCTTCTGTCCCTTCTGGGAGCCCCCGGGGGGAACCTCGAATTCCGGTCTCTTCCAAGTCCCCTTCCCCCTCCAAAGGCTCACTCCCCAGAAAGTTCTCCCTCCGCCAGAGTCCTGAAACCCAGACAACACCTGCTGTCAGGACGCATGGGGGCTGGCGTGGGGGAGGCTCACCTGACCGCTGGTTGAGGGAGCGTGGCCGCCCAGGAGCAGGCTGGGCTGGTGCAGCGGCCTGGGAGCGGAGGACGGAGGGAGGCAGGAAGGCTCGTGCAGGGCCAGAGGGAGATAGGCACGAGAGCACAGGAGCCCACAGACGTGGTCGCCCCTGAAAGTTCTAGCCTGACGGTCACAGCCCGTAGGGAGAGCCTGCAAGACGAGCGTGTCACACTGTCCCCAGGCCACCACGTGCACCCAGCACTGGCCTTGTGTACGAGAGGGCACGGCAACAAGCACCAGGAAGCCCAGAGTCTGGTCCTGGCCCATCACGCCGCAGGTGTGTCCCTTCGGGCAAGTCACTCCTGTCCCCTCGTTCTCCTCCTCTGGGGAAGGGCCAGCTCCCAACTAAAACCCAGATGGTCCCAGCACCTGAAGCCTCTGCTCCTTCCCGATCCCAGGGTGCTCAGCCCACCCCCACCCCCACCCCCTGGCCTCTGGGTTATAAAAGGAGCACCCAGAACGCTCTGCTTGTAGAATGGAAAGAACCCTAAAGCTGATCTGGTCTGCTGACCCACGCTGTGTAGTTGATAAAACTGAGTCACAGAAACGTGAAGTCACTCACATGGAGATTCAGAGGCCCATCCCCTGCCCTGCTCTGCAGAAAAGGCTAGAGCAGAGTGAGAGCTCAGGCCGGAGTCCGGCGGCCGCGGGGCCGCCTGCCTCTGTGGTCAGGAGATCCGTAAAGCCAAAAGCCGCCTTCCTCTCGGCGAGTGTGGATTCTCTCTGAAGCAGACATGCAGCTGCAGGCCCTTCCTGGCCAGGAGCAACCTGTTCTTTCCATCAAGAAATCCCAGTTTCCCTGGATCAAACAAGAACAAGGCAAGAACCAGCAAACTTCCTGAGGGTCGGACGCAGCTGACGGCAGCTGTTCCGCGGTACCCAGCCCATCGCTGTGGGAAGACCAGCTGCTTGGGGTCAGAGGTGCTGCCCGGCCCTCTGCCTGGCCCTTTGCCCTGAGTCAGGACTCAGATGGAGCCTCCCTGGGCCTCCACGCTTTGAACTCCCACAGGTGGCTGTGCAGGGTCCCATGGTGCCTCGCTTGTGGCCCTGTGTGTCTCCACCCTTCTGGAACGAACTCAGATGCACTCAAGCTGCCTTAACCTCTTCAGCTCAGGCACTTGTCTCCAGAAACTGAAACGGTTCTGGTTCCTTCCACCTGGAGGGCGTAGGCACCGCCCAGCCTAGCCCCTCACTATTTCCGGTCATTTGCCATTTCTTGTAGCTGCAACTGACTTTCCAAATGACCCAAGAATCATCTTGGCCAACAGCTTAATCCTCCTGGATTATTCTTTTCTAATTGTCTCTTTTTATAAAAATAATTTAGGACTAGAGCCACATTTTGGAAACAAATCAATAAATAAGGATAACACCTCGCAGCTGCCTTCCTTACGGCCTTCCTTCCACCTCCTCTCACTTGCCCCGCCATCTGCTGAGATGCTCGTGTTTTCAACGGTAGGAAGAGAGGGAGACCCACAAAAATCAAGCACATTCATTTTTTTAATGTGGCAGAAGATACCTGTTCTGATGGAGCCAACTTCCTGCTCACACTGAACTCCTACGTGTGCGAGCCAGCACTCACGTTCACGGCCACGTCACAGCTTCCAAGAATTCTATTCACAGAACTTCAGAGCCGCCCTCTCATTCTGCAGGTGAGGAAACTGAGGCTCTGTGAGCTAAGATCACTCCCCCAAGGCCATGCCGCTATGACGTAAAGAATGGGGTCCGCCTCCATGCCTCTTGACACCAGGCCAGCAGTGGCCTTTGGTCTGGATGGCACCACACGAGTTAGGGTATCCTAATCGCTGGTGAAACCACCCTGCACTTGTATTAACACTGCCCCACAGCTTGTTACCCAGCTGAATCTCTCAGGTGTCACTGGATTTCTTCATCCAACTCAGAATCCACTTCTGTTTGTAATCTCCGAGGATGGGAGGGCATGGCTTTGTTCGAAGAAAAAAAATCTAGCAGTTCAGTGCCTGGGCAGTGTGACTCAGGACGCCTGGAAGAAGAGGTTAGCTCACCCAGGCAGCTTCTATCAGCAGATTCCACTGGGATATAAACACCTCAAGATATACAAAGTGATATCCCAGCAAGAGATGGACGAAACCAAACACGAATTACATCACCGAGGAAGCAGAGCAACCTCACCGCAGGAAGACCAAACAACTTTCTCCAGAAGCCGTCACTTCAAGGAAGGGTGCGTACCACGTCCAACAGTAGCTGGCCTTCATGCACAGATGATATTCTGAGCGCTTTACCTGCTCGCTTACAGAATCCTCACAGCAGCTTTATGAAGGAGATGCCATTACCAGGCCGCGTGCTACAGATGAGACCCGGAGAAGATGCGTAACCAGCCCAGGGTCAAACGGCAAGCCCAGGTTAGACTAGGAGGGAGGGGCCGAGGGAGGGCTGAACCCAGGCAGTGCGTCAGCAGAGCTGGGCCCTCCTCACCCTTACATGCTACTTCCAGGGCACGTGCTCCCAAAGAACGAAGGGGCTGGGGGGTCTCAAGAGGGCAAGGTCATCCATTCCGGACCCTCTGCCCCCAGAGCGCTGGTGGGTCACAGGTGGGCAGAGGCCGGAGAGGCCCGGGGAGAGGGGAAGGCAGGATCAAAGGCCACGAGTGCTCTGGGAACGGGGTCTGCGCCAGGTCCCAGCCCCACACCTGCACAGACACACTGACCCCAGCCCTGCCGTGCACCGTCTGCCGGCTCCTCCTGGGCAAAGCCTTATGGTGGAGAGCGAAGATGAAATGCCCAAGAACCCGAGGCTCCCTCTCCCGGCCCTGCAGCCTCAAAAGCTGGATGAACAGTCCCCAGGAAAGGAGGTGAAACTACCTGAGCACTCAGAGCGCTGTGGTCCTTTCACTGCATCAGCACCTCCCTCCTGCGAACACACTGAACAACGGCGACATGCATGGGCCCATCGGAGGGGCTACAAAGGTGTAGAGAGGTCCTGCCCGGAAGATCAGTGGGAATGGCAACTGTGGAGCCCAGAGTTTCCACACAAATAGGAAGGGTTGGGCACACCTGCAGGGGGATGCGGCAGAATGCTTTGAAGCAGGGCCGTCTCAAACCTAAGCTCTGGCCA